GGTTGGAGAACAGAGAGGGACTGGGGTTTGTAGTGGGGAGATGAGGCAGCACGGGAGATGCTGAGCTCAGTTGGGTGACTCAGGAACGGGACGGTGGAGAACATCAAGGAAGGGGCTTTAGGGTTAAAGCGAGGCTGCAGGGAGAGCGGGGGCCCAAGGCGAGCTGAGGGACAGGACAGAGAGACCGCGTTGGATAAGAAGAAACTGGCCTTCTCACCTCCTCAGGTGGACTTTGAGGGCAGTCTTGCTGAAAATCGCTTCACAGTCCTCCCCAACATAGATCCTGAAATTGATGAGAGTGAGTACTGGCGGGTGGCTGGGCCTGCAGGTCTGAACACCTGGCTACCCACTGTCAGGCCGCCATCCTCAGCAGGTGGTCGCCACCGCAGCGGGCGGGCGAGGGGGGCACTAGAGCACTCGGGGCAGGGGCCTGACTTGTGAAATCCGTGTGTCTTTACCCCCCTAGAAAAACGAAGGCTGGTAGGGCTTCCTAGCTTCCTCACGGAGGTGGCCCGGAAGGAGCTGGAGAACCTGGACTCCCGAATCCCTTCCTGCAGTGTCATCTACATCCCTCTGGTGAGGGTAGGGGGGGGGCGTGGCTCCCAGAAGTCTTCTAGAGGAGATATTAGCCTTATGAAGGACACACTGATAGATTAAAAAAAAAAAAAAAAAACATGAGCACCTTTTGGTTGTAGGCACTGAGGGAGGCCCCTGAGGGGTCCCTGGGCTTCCTCCAGGTAGAGAAGGTGCTCAGTGGCTCACCGTTTGCTTTATCTCCTCTTTCTCTCCCCAGATTGGCTTCCTTCTTTCTATTCCCCGCCTGCCTTTCATGGTGGAGGCCAGTGACTTTGAGATTGATGGGCTGGACTTCATGGTAAGACCCTCCCACCACTGTGGGGCTAGAAAATGGGCCAGCAGCTGAGGTGAGGCCTCCCCGCATCAGCAGTGCCCGACTGGGATGTCTCCTCTGTGGTTTTTGTGAGCTTTACCAGCTCCGAGATAGCTGGAGAGGGGTCAGGGAGGAGGGGCAGGGGTGGGGTTAGAAAGGCGGGAGAGGAGAGGAGGACTAAGAGATGCCAGGCACACACTCAGAACCCTTGTCCGCAGTTCCTCTCCGAGGAGAAGCTGCACTATCGTAGCGCCCGAACCAAGGAGCTGGATACGTTGCTGGGGGACCTGCACTGCGAGATCCGGGGTGAGGAGCCAGAGGCTGGAGCAGGGCAGGCAGCTGAGAGGAATTTCCAACAGGCTCCTCCTCTTCCTGCTCGCCATCGCTCTCACTCGTGCTCCGTGTCTGCCCTGACTGTCTGGGGGCCTCAGCCCACATCAGTACACTTGTTCCCAGCTCCCTCTGTGGGCCTCTATCCTTTCCTTTCCTTTCCCCTTTCCTTTCCTTTCCCCTTTCCTTTCCCCTTTCCTTTCCTTCCCTTCCCTTCCCTTCCCTTCCCTTCCCTTCCCTTCCCTTCCCTTCCCTTCCCTTCCCTTCCCTTCCCTTCCCTTTCCTTTCCCCTTTCCTTTCCCCTTTCCTTTCCCCTTTCCTTTCCCCTTTCCTTTCCCCTTTCCTTTCCCCTTTCCTTTCCCCTTTCCTTTCCCCTTTCCTTTCCCCTTTCCTTTCCTTTCCTTTCCTTTCCTTTCCTTTCCTTTCCCTTTCCTTTCCTTTCCTTTCCTTTCCCCTTTCCTTTCCTTTCCTTTCCTTTCCCCTTTCCTTTCCTTTCCTTTCCTTTCCTTTCCTTTCCCCTTTCCTTTCCTTTCCCCTTTCCTTTCCCCTCTCCTCTCCTCTCCTCTCCTCTCCTCTCCTCTCCTCTCCTCTCCTCTCCTCTCCTCTCCTTTCCGACTCCCAGCCTCTGCTCTCACCCCGAGCAGATCAGGAGACCCTGCTGATGTACCAGCTGCAGTGCCAGGTGCTAGCGCGAGCTGCTGTGTTAAGCCGGGTGTTGGACCTTGCCTCCCGCTTGGACGTCCTGCTGGCTCTTGCCAGTGCTGCCCGAGACTATGGCTATTCAAGGCCCCGTTACTCACCCCTGCTCCATGGGGTCCGAATCCAGAATGGCAGGTGAGACATGAGGGCCCCATCTCCTGGGGGGTTCATCTGTCTGGACCTGTAGGCCATGTGAGGTGTCTCTCTGCCCACTGCAGACATCCCCTGATGGAACTTTGTGCCCGAACCTTCGTGCCCAACTCTGTAGAATGTGGTGGGGACAAAGAAAGGGTCAAGGTCATCACTGGACCCAACTCCTCAGGGAAGAGCATTTTCCTCAAGCAGGTGAGGAGAAGCCCTACAGACTAGGCCTCTGGCGTCTTTTCCAACCTTTCCGTCCTCCTGCCAGCCAAGCAGGGGCCCTGCTCTTTCCACTCACTTTCTCGCTGTGTGCCTGAGCAAGGCCCGTGCCCTAACGGACCTTCCCATGGCCTGGATTCCCTTCACCCCCTCCAGACAGGCACATGTGCCTCAGTCCACCCCTCTGCCCGTTTACCCGGTCTAAGGTGAATACAAGGCACTAAGATCAGTATTTGGGGAAGAGGGCAACTGTGTGTCCTGTCCCCTTTTCCTACTTCTGTTTCACTGTGTCTGTCTTTGAACTGCTATTTATGCCCCCCGGTCAGCCTCACTTTCCCTCAGTCCACACTACCAGGCCCCATCTCTTCTTTTAACTTTTGTTTGAAAGGCAGAGTCAGAAAGACTGGTTCACTCCCCATTGCCCGCAACAGCCAGGCTGAAGCCAGAACCAGGAACTCCATCCAGGTCTCCCACATGGATGGCAGGGGCCCAACGCCTTGGGCCAGTTTCTGCTGCTTTCCTAGGTGTATTAGCAAGAAGTTAGACGGGAAGTAGAGCAGCCGGGGCCCAAACCAGCACTCCAATAGTGGCGACTTAACCCGCCATGCCACAGTGCTAACGCTGCTATCACCACCGCTCCCCCCACCCCACCACCGATCTTCTTTCTTATTCAGGTAGGCTTGATCACATTCATGGCCTTGGTAGGCAGCTTTGTGCCAGCAGAAGAGGCCGAAATTGGGCCCGTGGATGCCATCTTCACCCGAATTCATAGCTGTGAATCCATCTCCCTTGGCCTCTCCACCTTCATGATCGACCTCAACCAGGTCAAAGGGAGCAAAGGGAGGTGGGGTCAGGGGAAGGGATACTGGGGAAGGAACTTGACCCCTGAAAATGGCTCGGTACAGGAAGGCATTTCCTCCGTGCGCCTCTGTACCCGGGTGGGTGCAGCCACGTCAGAGACTGGAGCAGGCAAGGCATCAACACTGCCGAGCCCTGGCAGCCTGCGGGGCATTGGTGGCAACGAAAGGACGAACAAAATGTGTGCCTCACCATTAAGGAACTTGCAGTGCAGGAGGGTGGACACATACAGAAACAGCCTTACTCACAGGCCAGCGGGCCAACCAAGTCTCCCTTGTCCGCCTCGTGCCCAGCAGGTGGCGAAAGCAGTGAACAACGCCACTGAGCGGTCTCTGGTCCTCATTGACGAATTCGGAAAGGGAACCAACACGGTGAGAGGAGAGGCTAAGGAGGGGAACACGGAGGGGGCCCAAGCATGGGGGCGAGGCTGGGCCCTGGGAAGAGACAAGGGCTGTGTGGGCAGAAAAGGAACAGAGTGGGAGCCAGGGAGAGGCCAGGGCAGGTGCAGAGGGCGTGCGGGAGGCCTGGGGCTCCTGCTCACCCCTGGACTCCGTGCAGGTGGACGGGCTCGCACTTCTGGCTGCTGTGCTGCAACACTGGCTGGCTCTGGGACCCGCGTGCCCCCACATCTTCGTAGCCACCAACTTTCTGAGCCTTGTGCAGCTCCAGCTGCTGCCACAGGGGCCCCTGGTGCAGTATTTGGTGAGGGTTTAAGCCCATGTGGCCCCGAGGGCTTTCCCCGGGGGTGGGGATTGGCCCCGCTGCCAGAACAGGGATTCCCTGAACACAGGACCGTGTCCCTTCCCTTTGCTCACTCCCCACGGGCACTGGCCGAGGGTTTTAGGACAGGGAGCAGGGTGACTGATGACACGCTGTCCTCTTTCTCTTTTAAGACCATGGAGACCTGTGAGGATGGCAACGACCTTGTCTTCTTCTATCAGGTTTGCAAAGGTGTCGCCAGCGCCAGCCACGCCTCCCACACCGCGACCCAGGCTGGGCTTCCCGACAGGCTCGTTGCTCGTGGCAAGGAGGTGCTGAGATCCGAGTACCCCACCACCTCCACTCAGGACTCCCCTCCATCGTCCCTGCTCCTCATGGGGCCTGGGTGTCTGGGCCTGCCACGTTTCTAACTCATCCCACCCCACCCCACCCCCCCGCATCCCGCATCTCCCACCTTCCTCATTGTTCCCAGGTCTCCGACTTGATCCGCAGAGGAAGACCTATCACACCTGTCAAGGAGCTGCAAAAGGAGACCCAAATGAAAAAGTGAGTTTGTGGCCCTGTCTGCTGCCTCTCTAGCATCTTCTCCCTGTCACAGGGACTCAGGCACCGGCCTTCCCGCAGCACTTTGCTTTCAAAGACCCACACTTTCTTCCTGAAGTCCCCAGATCTTCAGGGCCCCAGGTTTCCTGTGCCACAGCCGCTCCCTCTGCCCAGGGAATCCGTTGCCCGTTCTCCCTTAAAGCTTTGCATTCTCTCGCCCCTTCAGCTGCCAGACGTTAGTGGATAAGTTTCTGAAACTGGACTTGGAAGATCCCAGCCTGGACTTGGACGTTTTCATGAGTCAGGAAGTGCTGCCTGCCGCGGCCAGCATCCTCTGAGCGGCTTTGCTCTGCCCGCCCCATCTCCCAACACCCCAGGGTGGCCTTGCTCTGCCTGCCCCACCTTCCCAGCACCCAAGGGCTGCCATGCTGCTTCCTTATCCCCCTCAGACCCAGAGTTCTCTGTTTCCCTAGAAGTTTATTCTGTATTAGGAATAAAGTTGGTTTTGGAGAAAGTCATTGTGTCCTTAGGTCAACTGAAACAGAGCAAGAGGCCTGGAAGCAGCCACCACAGTGAGCAGGGGTCCACAGAGAGACCCGCCCTGCGCCGTGAAAAATACAGTGAGGCCCTGGGGAGAAGGCAGACCCTCGGCTTCTGGCCAGGGGGATTTCACGAGAACAGGCCCCCTTAGAGAGGCCCAGCAACCACAGATTAGAGGGGCCCAAGGGAGTCTCACTCCTGCCTCAGACAGCACAGCAGGAAGGAGCCCCAGAGGCCAGATGGATACAAAGCAAAAGGGGAGGGGGAGGGATCAGCCCCGCTACACCAGTGGGAGTGGCTCCACCCTTCCCACTTCAGAGCCATGGGGAGTTGGGGGCCTAGTGGGCCGCCCCCAGTGCAGGCTCCCTACACGGTCCTGCTGCTGCCGCTGGAGACCAGCCGCCAGGATCCAGGCGCCCGGAGCTTCTTCCTTTGGGTGAGTACTAGCCTAGCAAGAGGGCCCAGGGGACTCCCTCTTCTAGACCAGTCACGTTTCCAGCCCGCTCTGAGGACCTGTCAACCTTCCCTGCTTCCCCTTGCCCTCCAGGTCGCCAGTGGCCGGTCAGGGGTGACACTCAGAGACCAGACAGTGCAGTCAGCCAGGGGGTGCGGGAAAGACCTGGGCCCGGACCGGGTCGGGGAGTGAGCCCGCCCCGGTCTCTTGGTCTCTCCAGCTGCAGAGGATGCGGGCTCTGGAGAGGCAGCAGGACGCCCTGTGGCAGGGGCTGCAGCTGCTCCAACGAGGCCGGGCCTGGTTTGAAGACCGCCTGAGGGAGGCCCAGCGACAGCAGCTGCATCTGGGGGCCCTTGGTGAGGTGCGAATGGGGGTGGGGAGGGGGTATGACCCAGAGTGTGTGGACACTGCCTGAGACCACTCTGGCAACGGAAGGGTTAATGGACAGGGATTATGAATTGGAGGCAGCACTGGAATAACAGGAGGCCACAGTGTTAGGCTGGGAGAGGCCGCCCTGCATTCCCTAGCGGGGACAGGATTTGATTTGATCGCTGCCTTGGGTCGGGGAGTGGCCTGGATTATTCCATCGGAGCAGGGATGGAGAGGAAGGATCCATGATCCATAACGGATGGGGAAAGGGGGCATGGCGCTATTTGAGGAGGATGGAGAGATGGAGGTAGACAGCACTAGGTTTTTGCACATGTCTGGAAGGGTTTCGGGATAAGGGGATCCGAAAGAGGAAAGGAGCGGCGTGTGGGGACAGAGTGGCAGAGGACTCCAGCGTCCCATGGTGTTGCCAGCCTTCACCTTGTCCTTTAGGATTTTCTAACAGACTCACACCTGGAGCCTGAGGGCGCCTGGTTAGCCCAGATTCAAAAAGTGAACACCTGTTTGCAGAATCTGATTCAGGAGAAGGTGAGTTTATTGTTTTCAGGTTGGCCTTCTGGGAGGTGGGACCCGAGAAGGGAGTTGTTAGGTCAGCACTGGTTTAACAGAAAACAACGAATGTCCCCCAGCTGTCCCCACGTCCACTGAACAGGGCTGGTACCAGCGGCCCCCAGCACTGGAAGGAGAGGCCAAGGAAGCAGAATGTGGGGCAGCCACAGGTGAGGTGAGGGGGGACGGGGAGGAAAAGACAGGGAGAAGCAGAGATGCCCAGCGCTGCCTCCCCCTGCAGGAGTGGCCAAGGCAGCAGAGAGGAGTCAGCCAGTCCGAGGGGCAGACGGCTCAGCCCCGCTGCCCCCGGGGGCGGAGGGCCGCCACCCGGGTCTGAACCTCCTCCCGGTCCCTCGGTCCCTTGGTGGTGAAGGAGTCATCGCCGGAGCCGACTTACTCTGCCGCACAACTTCAGGGCGCGGGGCGGTGCCGGTCAGACATCTCCCTGGGAAGCGTCCTGAAAACTCCCACGTCACCTGTCACCTCCGCGGGGTCTCAGGCCCTCCCCACCCCCACACGATGCGCAAGAATGAGCTTTCCTTCAAGGCCCTCGGGAGAAGACGTGTTTATTGAAACTGTCCTTCAACATGAAATACAAAAATAAAATAGAAGCTGCTCTAGACTTTAAAATAAAGACAATTCTATCACACTTCCTGGCACCCTTCTACCTACTCCCAATCCTAGGCACCTCCCCATACATCCTCCCCTCTTCCTAAGCCTGGGAGAGCAGAAAAAGTGGGTGGAATAAAGATGCTACAGAGAAGCAGCCACTTTCCCCCAACATGTCTTTGGTTTGGTTCCTGTGAGGGTCGGGGAAAGTGCATTGTGGGAACAACCATTGCTTCCCCCCCCACCCCGCCCCAGTCTTGTGGTTTTTAAGAAGGAAAAGGGCCAAGTGCATGGGGAGATCTCCATCCCAGGTGAGAGAGGCAAGGGCCCGAGGCCCAGGGGACCTTAGCAAGCAACAGGGCAGTTCTGGGGACCCTCCCTCCCGGGCTGCGGAGTCACCAGGAGACCACTCCTAGCAGGAGCAGCACCCCTCCGATCGTGCCCCACCAGGGGTTGTCGGCCATCCCTCCCCCAGTGCTGCCCTGAGCCCCCCAAGGGGAGGGATGAAAGCTAGGGGCGGCCGTGGGGCGGACAGCGTCAGCTGAATGGGCAGAGGCAGCGAGCTGGTCCTGGGGGAAGGAGAGAGAGTCAGGGTATGCTAGAGCTAGCCCCCAATTCAGCCTGCCCCACATGTAGGAGGGAGCGCGCCTCACCTGCGGGGCCCTGGCCTGCACCAGGAGCCTAAGGAAGGCGTGGGTCGGGGACCCTGGGCCGCCATCTCTTCTCACTGCAGCCACAGTTACGGTCACCACAGAGTCTGGGGGTGCTGAGTCTGGGATCTGCAGCCACAGGCGTCCCCAGGCAGACTCGTTCACTCCCAGACGAGCCCTGGCCGGTGGATACTGACGTCAGGGTACACCCAGGGAAGACTCTGAGGGCCAATCGGGAGGGCTCAGGGGCGGGGTGTGGAGTAGTGGGGTTCACCTGGAGAGATTGGAGGCGAGGGCGAAGCTGGGGTAGACAGACGTCCTGAGATTTAGATCCTGAGGGCCCGAGAAGCTGGCGACGCGGAGGCTGAGTGGTGCTCTGCTACCCGGAGCCAAGAGATCCGGGGGCCCACTGAGCTGCGGAGAAGGGCCGTGAGGGGAGGGGCCGCTCCAGCTGTCTCCAGTCCCCGCCGCCCCGCCCTGTCTCACCTCCAAAAGGACCGGCGCCACAGTACAAGGCTGGGGGGCAGCCCTGCGCAGGCCCTGGCCCCCTCCGTCCTGGCCGACCAGCTCGAGAGAGAAGGCTCCGGCGGCGGATGCCAGCGTGGGCGGCAGTGCGGCGGCCAGGAGCCCTCGCTGTGGGGGTCCCACGGGCTCCAAGCGCACGCTGCCCAGCTCGGTGCCCTCGGGGACCCCTCGAAGGAGCGCATGGGAGAAATGTGGCCGAGCGCCCCCAGCATTGCTGTTGGAGCCCAGCCCCGTCACTTCTACCAGCAGCTGAGTCTGCAGACCTGGGACCGGGAGGGCAGTGCGTGAGATTCGCACAATGGAGCAGAGAGGCGCTGGCTTTTTGGTTGGGGGTTGCCTCAGGGCTACTGGTGGGCAGGGGTCTGGAGGGAGGGGTGGGGCACTGGAAACGGTTCTTGAACACGGGTGTATTACGTGAAACCTATTGCACTGTAATCTTAAACGCGATGCCCTTCATGTAAATTGTAACTCAGTTATAGACATGCATGTACACGTAACGGGGACACACACAGGAATAAAACTCACAAAGTGGGGGAGGGGTCAGGGAGCAGGCATACCTGCCACCGGCTGGGTAAGCGGGTAGAGGCCAGGATGGGGCCCGTCCTCCACGGGGATCCCAAAGTGGAAGAGGAAGTCCAGGGAAGTCTGGGCTGGGGGAGGGCAAAGGTGGTGAGAGACCCCCACCCCCACCCCCTAGGACTGGCACTGCTCCCTGCCCCTCCCCTTCCCAGGAACATCTTCCTCCTCACCTTGCACTCGCACCCGGGGTGTGCCCTCAGCCGTGACCTGGATCTCCCAGGCCCCTGTCCGTGGGGGGTCATTCACGGTCACTATCCAGAACTGGCCAAAACGGCGCGTGTGGCCTAGAGGGCCCGTGCCTTCCTCCTGGCTCTGGAAGATCCCTGGTGCGGGGGTAAGAGCTTGTCTCATGAACCAGTTCCCTCCCTGGGGTCGTCCCCTCTCCTTCCCCACCCTGCAGCGTCCGCTCTGGCCTCGCTGTGAGACACAAGCAGGCACCTTCAGGGTTCCTGATCCGGAAGCTGCTGACCTCCCCGTGGATCCTGACCGTGACTTTCTGGAGCAGCCCGTCTACACTGAACACAAGTGGCCTCCCAGGCACCACAGCAGGCGGTTCCAGTGGAAGAGTCACCTGCGGGTGGGTGGGACCAAGCAATGGGGGAGAAGGTAAGACATGGAACGAAGTGTGGGCACAGCCAGGAGACTGAAAGAGAGCACACGTGCAGAAGAGCGACAGGTGAGAGAGCGACGCAGACATGGCCCTGAGGGTGGAAAGCGGGAGGCCGAGGGAGGGGGTTACTGAGAGGGAAGGGCAACGTGGGAGGTGAGCAGCTATGGCTCTCGGAGGAGAAGAAACTTCCTTTCCCACCCCTCCGACCAACCGGGCCGGCCCCAGGGCGCTGGGAGCCATTGCCGGTCTCAGGCAGCGTCACCACCCGCGGCTCCCAGCAGGGGGCGCCAGCCGCCCGGGCGCGCTTCCTCACCAGCGCCGCAGTGCTCTCCTCGACAATGGCCGCCACGTCCTGAATGTGCTGGTCCTTGGTGAAGATCACCTCTCCGCCTGAAGCCAGGGCCACTGCTTCATAGGGCTCAAAGCGCAGAGGGGACAGGACCTCACGGCGAGCTCGGCCCTGCACCCGCGCCGGGTCTTCGGTCACCAGGAACGTCACCTGTGGCCAGAAGAGGGTCCTGGCTATGCGCTCTCGTACCCGAGGACCCGTCCGCTCAGGCTCTCTCCAGAGCGGGCCATTAGCGTCAGCTCTCTCGGCCCACCCTCTGCCCGCTGCGGTGGGGTCTCCTGAGGGCACAGCCCCCCCGGCCTTCTGCCCTGCCCTTAGGACTGTCGCCATTTTCCGCACTGGATCTTAGACAACTGGATCCCCGGTTCTTTACTGGGCTGGGTCAGCGCCGCTCAGGGGAGCGCGGCCCACCCTTGAGGACCATGAGTGTAAGGACACGGTGCATTCCACGTCTGCCTCTCCCGCCCCGCGGCGTGGCCGCTCGTCCTGACATTGTTTCACAGGGTCTCCCCCGGCCCTCGGGGGCTGACACCGGCTCTCCTGTCAGCTGTGCTCACCCTGCAGCGCCGCTCCCGGGTCAGCGATTCCACCCGGTTGGTGAGAAAGGAGTCCTTGGGGGAGGCGTCCGTGAAGACGAAGATGTCTGAGAGTGGAGGCGTGTGCAGCAAGGCCAGCTGGCAGGGAGGGAGAGGGCTGGAGTGACAAATGGTGGGGGCCGGGGAAGGGGTAAGAGGACAGAGCAGAAGGGCAGGTGTCCTGGGAGCCAGCGGCGGAGCTGGCGGCACTGCGCTGAGGGTGGGTAGAAGGCGCGAGGGAGGTTGGAGCGCCCCCTGGTGGTGACGCGCCCCCTGGTGGCGAAGCTCTCCCTGGTGGTGAAGCTCTCCCTGGTGGTGACGCGCCCCCTGGTGGTGATGCGCCCCCTCATAGGTCAGGAAAGGGAGGGATGGGAAGGGAAGGGGAAGGGAGGGGCCAGACCTCCAGCGCGGACAGGCACATCTCGGGCTCGTCTCCACCCCCTAAAGCGTGGATCTCATTGAGCTGTTGCCAGAAACTGTCAGGATCACTGGTTGTAAAGACTGGACCGAACCCTGGGAAGAGAAAAAGGAGGCCGACAGTGAGGTAGGAGCCCTCGTTCCCACCCGGGACCCCCTCCCCAGATGAGAGGCCTGCTGTGCTTGGGTGGGGGGGACGAGTAGTGAGGGGAACAATGTTCCCTTCTATGTCTATGGTTCTTTACCTTTGTTGGGGCAGGGCGGGGCTAGGTGCACCTGGCAGGAAAGGGAGACCCCACTCCCTGAACAAAATGGTGCCAGTTCCTGTGGTACTGCATGAACCTTTACTGAACACACGTGTGTGCATGAAGACCAGCCAGGGCCTCTGCTTCCTTATCAGGGAAGACAAACCTCAGAGGCTCGCTGGGAGAACTATGCACTGAGTCTGTAAATCTTAGAGCCTTGATGCAGGCGAACCTGCATTATTCACTTACTCATACCTTCATCAAACACGTAGTAAGTGCCGTTCAGTGCCAGCCACTGTGAGATTTATGCCAACACAACAGACTCAAGCCCTACTGCTAGGGACTTCTCAGTCCAGGAAGCATTTTATCCGATCATCAGTTCAACTCTGGGACATAGGCAAGAGAAGGTAGGTACTGACCCACTTACAGGTGATGAGACTGAAGCAGAGAGATTATGACCAGCCTGAGGACACCCAGTAAGACTGGTGGGCCCAGGCCAGATCTTCTGACTTCTAATTCAGCTGGGAAAGAAACGTGAGGTATCTTCCAAAAGTTTATGCAAAGTGGTGTTATTTGAGAAGAAAAACTCCAGGGATTTCCAAATCTTTTGCACCAAAATAAGCTTGACTGTTAATTCCATTCGCCCCCAGCCCGACTTTTTGAAGTGGTCTTGTTCAGTGCAACTAGCTACCTCAGACGCTCCCCAAAGGCCCGGATTGGACAGCTCCTCGTGTTCATTTTAACCCACAGGGAAGGACAGAGTTGAGAAGCACTTCCTAGCATGGAAGCCTAAGACAGCTGAGGTGGTGCGCCTGGGTGCGGGCCAGGCGGTAAGCTGGCGGAGAGCTGCCATTCTAGAAACACTGGGAGCAGCGGCCTTGTTTTCTGCCGGCACACGGGAGCCCAGCAGAGGCTCACTCAGGGCGGGGGAAGCAGCCTGAAGGAGGCGGAGCCCGGCCAGCCTCCTTCCTCCCCAGAAGCCTCTGCCCCCTCCGCCCTGCCCCACACTTACCCGGGTCATGGAAAGGCACTAGTATGTAGTGTGCCGGCTCCATGGGGCTCC